GTTGCAGAGAAATTATCAAAAGAAATTTGGAAGATTCAAGTTTATGTTGATCCAGATAAATTAAAGGAGAAAAAATATACGCAGTTTAATGTCATCTCTATTGAAATAGTGTAAGATGAGGAAAATGCTGAATTGTTATTTTAGAATCAAAATTATCTCAAACAATTTTCATAAAACTATAAGCGATGTTTATTATAGGACCATGCTATAGATTCTATTAATGTCTTTTTTTTAATATATCACAATGTGTAATTATTTATCAATTACATAAACATTATATCATTAGTTATTTAATTAACAAAAAAAAATCACAACTTTATTAATAAAAATTTAATTCTTAACCAAAAAAATAATATATAAACTAAGCAAACATGCATTGCACGTTGCTTAAACCTTGTATTCCGAGTGCTTAAACCTTGTATTCTGATAAATTTGATTAAATGTGTGATTTAAAGTTCATAAACGTTATTGATCACATAAATTTTGTAGCTAAAGTTAATTGTTGACTTAATTATCCAATATTACTCCATTAAATAAACAGAGGCTCAAATTAATCAAGTTTTCAAATTAAAAGATCCAAGTTCATTCTGAAAATTTGAGTACATTTTCCGGGATCAGAAGGAAATATTTTTATGCTAAAACATAAAAATTAATTTGAGTAAACAATTCTTAAATGGAGTTTAAGATTTCACCATTAAAATTCGCAATCAAATCCAATTAGTAAATTAAAAGCCATGAATATTCATTTCCTAATTAATAGTGTTTATTATTTGAGCCCCTATTTGACAACCATTATTTGAAAATCATTTTTTTCTACATACTCATTTTCAACTACACATTCACTCAATAAAATATTCTGTACAGAAATCCAAATCTTTTTTCATACTTTTTAACCATATTCTCCAAAAAATCACTATTCAAATTTTATTTTGTCAAAATAATGATTATTAAACACGGGCAAACTATAAATCGACAATTTTGAATTTTTCTGAAGAGAAGAATCAAAATATTTTGAGATTCATAAAATTGAGCGATTAAAAAAGAAGTAATAGTTCTCTACTAGATTTGAACAATTAATTTAATGCAAATTTGTACATAATACAGAATGTTTATTTCAATAAACAAGCAAAGGAGGAGAAAATAACCAAATTAACTGCGTTGAGAGACAGTTCCTAATTTTTTTTTTCTATTCAAGGAGATAAAAAATGTTAAGGTAATGCATGACGAGGTGATAAAAAACATAGGATGCCGAATTCGACTTACAAGCTAAGCTAAGCTTTATTTTAAATAAAATTGAAGTAGGTCGGGCTAAAACAAATTGACTTATTTTTATGTTAAAAGACCAAAAAAATAAGTCGCAACCACTACGAAAACCCCTAATAAAGGAGGACAAAATTTCTCATCTGGGCACAAAATTGGAGTAAAGAGAACTGAAAAAACACAAATCTTATCAATGAACAGCACCGAACAGCAAACATAGATGATGGAGATTAGAAATACGATATGGCATTCCAATAACTTCGAGCAAAATAAATTGTTTCAACGTGTACTTTCAGGAGAATTATGTATCCGACTTAAATTTACTAACCCGTACTCCGACTCTGGCATTTTTCCCTCGCATGCCTCACACGACACATCAGAATTAAGTAAGTTACCACAATTAGTAGAGACCGACTTCAATTCCTGAACATTACCTGCAGATTCTGTAGGCACCTCTTTGATCCCAGCAAGCAAATGAGCATCAGATCCTTCATTATCCATATACAAGTCGTTCTTCTCAGCAATATGCTCCCACGGGTCCAGGTTTGAATCCTTGTCCACATCCCCGTTGACATGGTCCAAGGCAGGAATCAACTCTTCCGATTTCTCCGTTATGTTCATAATAACAGGTACACCGATCTTCTGGTGCAGGTTCCTAGAACTCCTTTCCATCATCGGAGAGCAATTTGGATGCTCGACCACCTCGTTAGAGTTTGGAAGATCATCTTCAGCGTCTTGCATATCACCAGCTGGAGACAGCTCCTCAACTTTATCATTCTCTACATTCAATTCTTCCCAACTCAATTTAGGAATGGACTCAATCTTCGAGCTCAAAAGTGATTGCTTCTCTTCATTTATTACTCTGAAGACTTCCGGCTGCCTCTTATAATGGGACATTGCTTTCTGCAATCACAAGGGAACAACGATTAAGGATTAGTTCACCATTTATTGAGTTGTGCGTGATCAAATTACAGTTTCAATTATGTGATTCATAAAAGCTACTTTGCATTAAGGAACAAAAATAACCATAAAATCATCTATTGTATTGTCCAATTGTGTCTGGTCCTCCTGCATACCAAGCACAGAAAGTGACTTCTATTACTTTGAGCCCCTTTAGCTACCTCAAAACTTGGCGCAAGATGATGTGCTAAAATCAATGACAATTATTCAGAATACCTAACAGAAGAACTAGGGCATTTCCAAAAGGCCTCGACCGAACTGCACACGTGACAGGTGTCCACAAACTATCATTTCAATCTACTTCTACTATGATAAAAAGGCATCTAAAAGACTAGTTTGCATATGCACTAATATTACCTCACGAAAAAAGTGACAGATGGAATCTAAATATGTGCTGTCCAATGCATGGCAGTGTTTTACATTAAAAAGCATTTCTTTTAACCACAAATGCGCATAATACCATTCAGGAAAACTGTGTGTACCTGGAAGACAGAATCATTTTTTACAGCAAAAAGTGAAACACTTGAGGTTTTCCCAGGAGATCCCACTTGAGGTTCCGCAGCTTGCTGCCATGGGAAAAGAACAATGGATTAGACTTAATTGGGATAGATAAAACAATAAGGCACTAAGACAAAGTACAGAGTTGTCATCTTCACCTCCATGTATAGAATTTCAGAATCTTCTAAGTCAGAAATTATGTTTTGATCTGTATCAATTATGCTTGCCCACTGCTTAAATAACTCGGGTTCGGTAAGATCTGCAGAAATGTCAAGCTTGGAAAGGTACACATGGCAAAACTGTACATCATCCTTTCTTGACATTTTAGCAAGGTCGATAGTCTCTTCTTGACTAACATGGGGAGCTTCAGCACCAGCATTCTTCTCAGAGCTATCACTCAATTGACTAATGTCAGCACTATCAGCCTTCTGATCACGTTGAGTTTGCTCATTCTGGCCAGCTGAAACTTCATCGCCTTGAACGAAATTATTCTGTTTCTCGGAAGAAGATGGCCTCTCCATGCTTGCCGTTCTGTTTGGGCCATTCCACAAATTTCCACTTGTCTCCCAGCCCTGATCACCTGGAAAGGTCCTAGAAGGGTCCCAGTCCGGCCTCTCATATATGTGAGGTTCATCACTAAACACAGCATTACTTGCATTCCAACCATGTAATGGCAGACGACGTGAATCATCCACTGCGTTGTGCCATCCCATGGAGGGCCCATGGCCAGAGAATCTGTCAGCATCAGGCATATGGTAAGGACCCTGAGAATGGTTTAAATCCACTGAAGGTCTAACACCAAATATTGATGGAACTGGAAACGGTTGCATCATGGAATGAAAACCCACAGGAGGTTGACCATGTGGAAAAGGAATGAAACCATTTGCCACAGGTGAAGGCCAGTTTGGAACACCTCCCCATGCATTTCCTTGAACCCTTCCGACGTTGGGATCACCAATCCTCCTACGACGGCTATCCATCCCTGTCCTAAAGGGAGGAGGTAGCAATGGCTTGGAACTGCGAGATAAACGGCTATTTCTACTAAAAGGTGAAGAAGCAGATAAGGTATCTCCATCAGGTTGTGAAAGTTCATCTCCAGGAAAAGCGTCCATGGCCAGCTCACTATTTACCCTGCCACCCTTACCAAAGTAATCCTTTACATCCCTAGAACCACTATTACCCAGTGCTGAGTCTTCAATGTCAAGACTCCGTCTTACATTAGATTTACTCAAGTGTCTCCGATCAGTGCTAGAAGAAGGGGACTTATATATCGGTTGCAGGGGTGAGGTGAGAATATCTGATTTCAGATGCCTTTCAGCTGACAACTCTCCGAGATGGCTGTCATTTTGACCAAGTTTCTCCAGGGATCGAGACGAAGATATCTTCTCAGCCCCTCCAGAAGAACTAGCATAATCTCTAGTAGAAGTTATCTTGTACTGAATTTTCTCTTCATGAGCATAATCGCTATATTTGGTTTCATTATAAAGTCTGAAAAAAATAAAGGCATGTAAATATCTGTTATAATAAACTCATGAAGAAATCTAAGGATGCTGCATATGAACGTCGGGATAAATCTATTTCAGGCAGCTCAAATATTGAGAAGTGAGAACTTTCTTAAATGTTGCAAATCCAATTGAGTAGCAGAAGAATTATATAGCAAACCAAATTCAAGTATAGTATGGAGGCAGTAGAACAAGAATGGGAAGACTATGATGTTTATGTATTTGATCAAGACAGCAAAAGTACAAACCAAACAATCCTCCTCAATTCTTACAAATTATTCACCCACTAAACTCCCCAAGTACAGCAATCCATTTCGCCATAGCTAAAGCCCAACCTACCCCAAAAAAAGAAAGAAAAATAATATCCCACATTTAGTTCAACTCGATAAATATTGCTTTGAAAAGAAGAAAATTCCACATATGGAATGCGCAAGAGGACAATTCATCATGGGATTAAAGGAAAGAAAGATATCAGGGTAATAGAATAACTAAACACCTAACATTAATGAAATTGACTAGCAAAGAAAAGGAGGAACTGCTACAATTGGTAAATAATAACCCGGTCAATAAAAACGTAATTCCCATGTTTCCTAAATCAAACATTCGAACAAATAAATGGGATGTTGTCTGTGTAAAGTAGTTCTATAACGTGCTAGAAGTAGCATTTCTACAAACAAGACATTTACTTCTTTGCTAGTCCTTGACATTTTAACACCCTAATCTAACGCAACAATCACACTAAATGAGATACAGCATTCAATATATATGCAGACAGCTGCTTTACATATCCAAGTTTCATACACCAAAGAATTATGAG